TAGTCACTACTTACGCGATCCAGAGGTTGAAAATATTGTAATATTTCATTAATATCTTCTATAATAAGTCACCCAGTGATTTAATTTCAATATACATTCATTTATAAGATATTCCTTAGTAACTGTACAAAATTTCTGGTCTAAGCTGGTGTGAAATAATTATATTTGCCAACGTCGTAAAGTCAGGCTGTAGAACAAAGTCCAAAAGGTGAATTCTACAAAGGACGAAATAAATAATAAAAGGGAATTAACTGACTGTTTCATTTAAATCCCTTTTGTTCTTAGTAAAAGAAAGAATCGATAAAACTAGGTCTGTTCCTTTGGTTTAAATACTGCGAAAGAGAATTCTAGGGCGGGTCTCGTTATTTTAAACAGAGCGTTTCGATGCAAATTGCAGCGGAGCGGATCCTTAGGAGAAGCAACCCGTTTAGTATTGAAATACATTCGGCTGTATCTTTTGCTATCTCGGATTGTCGCGTCAGACTTACTTTGACTCCGAAAGACGTAAAGGAGAGACTGCTGGAATCACTTCCATTAACTTAGATAGTTAGATGTAGCGCTGGCTGGAAATTCGATAATTAACTGTATGGCTGTATACAGCGTGCCGGGTCGCGTTGTAATTGCCGCAATCTTCTCACGGAAAATCTTTTCTCCCGCCGACACAATTCGTAATACGTAATTCAGTCTCGTGCGACTTCTCATCTGATAATTGGTTAATTGGTATTTAGGATTGCAATTCATGATAACTGTTTGTGTAACGTTTTTGACAATAATAATCTGGCACGTTGCCAAAAACACTATTGTAATACGCTGACGTTCTTTTTTATGTCGAATCTTTTTAACAGGTACACAATTAAAAGACTATTTGGTAGAAACAAAGGAGTATATTTATTTTCACTTCCTACGCGCAATCAATTTAGACATTGTGCTGCGATACACGTAGGATTGCTTCTACTTTTACGTTTTACAATTCATTCCGCGCGAGAAGTACGTCACGCTGCAACCTTATCTTTTACGTTCACAATAAAACTTCCTCGCTACCTGTATACCCTTTCTTTTTTATATCAAATCCAGACGACGAGCTTGAAAAAGAAAGGCAAGACGGAAGGCTCGCGTTTACGGAACGTGCGCCGGATGAAATTATCAACGCGAGGTATCCGCGTTTTCCGGTTCAGCGAGCGCCACGCCGCGTGTCTTTTTTTCCCTTGCTCGACGTCGGGGGAAAAACGACCGAAAATATTCGCTGGCACGCAAGGTCATGGCTCTGATACGATGGCATCTCTCCTCTTCTTCTCCTCTCTTTCTTTTCAGACTGGGCGGAAGAGGCGGTCGCCAAAGCGGAGATCTTGCGGTTAATCTACCAGGGCCGTTTTCTGCACAGCAATGTCACGCTCGGTGCTCTTGGGCTTCCTTTCGGGAAAACCACGGTGATGCATCTGGTCCCGCGAGAGAATCTTCCCGAGCCTAATTCTCAAGGTAAATTGTCGACTAGGCCCCTGTTTACCCTCTCCTGCGAGGCTCAAATAAAAGACCCTTTGTGTTCCGAGCCAACATGTCAGAGCACTGTTCAATTCGAACGATCGTACCCAAGTAGAGACGTGTGGCTCGTTCCACCGATCAGAAATTCGTTAAAGGAAAAGTATTACGTGCGTACATACGAAATGTTTGCTGCAATATACAGTGGCTTTGAAAAATATTTGTATGCTTTTTCAGACAGAATAATATTTTTCACATTGATCCAAACAAGATAGTTTTTCTGGGATATTGGAAGATTTAGTTTACTATGTGATGTATGAAAAAACAGTGCGAAAAAAAGTAAATATCGCGTTTCGCAACTTTTCCATTCGGATCTCTAATGAACATTGGAAATATCCCGTTTGTAGATTACCTCCCGTAAGCAAGTTGTACGCACGTGCAAAGTTTCATAAAAACCGATGAAAAGCATAAAAAATTTGCTTTAATTAATCTCAGTTGTAGGCAAGAAGTCATGAAAGCCTGCAGTTTTTAAAATTTTTAGTTGCTTGTAGTTCATAGC